TGAACATGTCCTTGTGGCACAATTGAGCATCCTTTGGATATATACCTAAAAGTGGTATTATTGGGTCTTGAGGAAGGTTGTTTCCTAATTTTCTGAGAAATCGCCACACTGACATCCAAAGGGTTGTACCAGTTTGCATTCCCACCAGCAATGCAAAAGTGTTCCCTTTTCCCCACAACCTCTCCATCATAAGTTGTCATCAGTGTTTTTGACCTTGGCCATTCTTACAGGTGTAAGATGTTTTGATTTGCATTTCTCTGATGACTAAGGATGTTGAACATTTCCTTAAGTGTCTTTCAGCCATTTTAGATTCCTCTGTTGAGAGTTCTCTGTTTAGGTCTGTACTCCATTTTTTTTTTAAATTGGATTATGTGTTCTTTTGGTGTCCAATTTCTTGAGTTCTTTGTATATTTTGAAGATCAGCCCTCTCTCTGATGTGGGGTTAGTGAAGATCTTTTTCCATTCTGTAGGCTGTCTTTTTGTCTTGTTGACCATGTCCTTTGCTTTACAGAAGCTTTTCAGTTTCAGGAGGTCTCATTTATTAATTGTTTCTCTCAGTGTCTGTGCTGCTGGGGTTATATTTAGGAAGTGGTTCCCTGTGCCAATGAGTTCAAGTGTACTTCCCACTTTCTCTTCTATAAGGTTCAGTGTGGCTGGCTTTATGTTGAGTTGTTTCCAGTTTTTCAACTAATTCCTCACTTTAAGAATTCCCAGTTGTCTACTACATCGGCTGTGGGTACTGGTGAAGACGTGAGGCTGACTGCTGCTGTGTAAAGGCCTGGCTGGGTTTCAAGGCAGCTGCTTCATTTGGCAGCAGCCTGAGAAGGAGGTCCAGGGAGAAAAAGGAAAAACCTAGCTGGTAGGGTGCAGGTAGGGTAGTGATTCTGGCCGTGTGTAAGTCCAGCCTGTGCCAATGACTATAAAGCTGCAGGGAAATGGCTTTTTTTGTGAATTTGTACCCCAAACATTGGGTGCCAATAATAAAAACCCAGAGACAGATATTGGGGTTCAAACTAAAGGTCAGAAAAAGCAAAGCAGCCAACCACTAGAAAGACTTTATAACACTATCAAATCTTTAGACCGAAGGGGTGAAATCTGGTCTCCATGAATCCTCAGACTCCACACTCCACCGAGTTCCTGTCTCTTCCCCTTTATATTCCTCTCTCTTCCCGGCTGTATCACTCCTCCCTAGTGTTGGGTTTAAAGGCCTGTGATCCCAGGGGATGGAGAGATGGCTCAATGGTTAAGAACACTTACTGCTCTTCCAGAGGACTTGGGTTCAATTTTCAGCACCCACATGGCAGCTAACAACTGTCTCTAATGCCAGTATCTGACACCCTCACACAGACATATATGGAGGCAAAATACTAATGCATGTGAAATAAAAGTAAATATTTTTTAAAAATTAAGGGCATGTGATCCCAACTGCTGGGATCATCTTTGTGTGAGCTCTCTTTTAGACAGATTCAATCTTGTGTAGCCCAGGGTGGCCCTGAACTCACAGAGATCTGTCTGCCTCTGTCTCCTGAGTCCTGGAATTAAAGATGTGTGCCACTGTTCCCCATCTGGCTCATTTGGCTGACTAGTGTGGCTTCTTTGCCTCTGATCTTCAGGCAAGCTTAATTTATTTAAACAAATAATACGCCACTGTACTGGCCCCCTGCACGTCCCAGGGTCAGTGTGGAAGCGCTGACTTTGAAGCCTGAGAGCAGATGAGGTGGCTCCACCCACCCCCTCCACCCCAGCAAAGCAGAGAGCTGGCCCTGGTAGTGCAGGAATTGGAGTGGGCTGACCAACTCAGTTACCACACAGGCCCAGACCCAGGGCTTTGAGTTGGCCCACACCAACATCTATCTACCCAACTAAGATCTGCTGGAGTGTGTGAAGGTGCTGGCCCTGAGGACCCAAAGCTGCAGGATCTCCTTGACACAGGACAACAACAGGCTATATGAAAGGAATCCCCATGTGATTCCAGTAATGTAGAGATAGCTAGGGCCCTGGAACCAGACCACTGACTCATTGCAATGAGCATTTGCAAGTAAAACTGTTTGGGCAAAGGGTAGACTGGCTGATACACCGTGGCACACTGCAGCTTCCACTGTGAGATTTTTTTAATTTGCATTTTAATTTTTTTTCTTTTGAGATCGGGTTTTTCTGTAGCTTTGGGGGCCTGTCTTGGAACTCGCTCTATAGACCAGGTTGGACTTGAACTCACAAAGATTCACTTACCTCTGCCTCCCAAGTGCTGGGATTAAAGGCATGTGCCACCACTTCCCGACTTGCATTTTAATTTTTTAATACTTTTATTTTCTGTTTTCTTTTGAGGGGGGAGGGTTCAAGGGCAAAAGGCAGATATAGAGGGATAAGGAGATGAGTGGGATTGGGGTACATGATATGAAATTCACAAAGAGTCAATAAAAAGTTAAAAAGATGGGGCTTCATGGGAAGTCCTTAGGTTACTGGGGATATGGCTTTAAAGGGAGTAGTGGGACCCTGTCTTTCTGTCTCGGCACCCTGGCTCCTTGTGGATGGGTTTGTTCTGATGCTGGCTCTCAACCATCCCTCCATAGGGCCTTCTCCAGGTATCCAAAGCAAGGGGGCGCTGATGGAGGCCTGACACTCCTCGATCTGCGAGCCCCACGCCTTCTCTCACTGCTGTCGTTGCAGCCGTGCAGACAGAGTGGTCGGTTCCCACAGCAGCATGTAGTCCTGCAGGGAGTCCCCTCACGCCTGTGGGTTGTGACTGTGCCAGCACCTCAGTGCTGCGTGTTTGACAGGAATGCTGTAGCCAGCACAGTTCCAGCAGCCCACTGTTTGCGTCACAAGAAGTCAGGAGCGATTTGTAAAAATAATATGTATAGATTCAAAATGTTCCTATTTAATTTTTTTAAATTTCTTTTTATTATGTGAAGTGTGTGTGCATCAAGGTACCTGTGCAGGCCACCAGAGGGCGGTGGAGTGCCCTAGAGCTGGAGTTCTAGGTGGTGGTGCATCATGCCAAGTGCTGGGAACTGAACACTGGTCCTCTGTACGACTCTCAACTGTGCTCTTAACTGCTGAGCCAGTTCTCCAGCTCCATAGCTCATTCTTGAAACTCACCATTTGGGTGTGTGCACTTGGCTCTGCCCCTCCTTTCAGTTCTGAGTTGGCCTGCTGGTCAACCTACACCGAGGGCTCTCAGGACATCTGCTCTGTATTGCATAGAACTAAACCCCAGAATTGAAAATGAACAAAAAGGGGCTGGAGAGATGGCTCAGAGGTTAAGAGCATTGCCTGCTCTTCCAAAGGTCCTGAGTTCAATTCCCAGCAACCACATGGTGGCTCACAACCATCTGTAATAAGGTCTGGTGCCCTCTTCTGGCCTGCAGGCATACACATAGACAGAATATTGTATACATAATAAATAAATATTTAAAAAAAAAGAAAATGAACAAAAAGTGTTATTGAAAAAGTATTCTCACCCGACAGGGTTTCTCTGTGTAGCCCTGGCTGTCCTGAAACTCACTCTGTAGATCAGGCTGGCCTTGAACTCCCAAGTGCTGAGATTAAAGGTTTGGGCATCACTACCTGGCTTTTTTGTTGTTTGCTTTTTGAGACAGGGTTTCACTATGTAGCTCTGGCTGACCTGGTCTCACTGTGTAGACCTGGCTGTTCTCACAGAGACACAGCTGCCTCTCCTAGTCCTGCTGGAATTAAAGGTGTGCACCGCCAAGCCCAATGTTGTGACTGAAGATTTAACTGGAGTGGTTGCGGATTCACTTGACATTTCAGAACGGGGAAGGACCCCTGTACATTTTGATCAGTTTTCCCCAGTGGTAGCATTTTTGGGTTTTGATTTGATTTGATTTTTATCAGAGCAACCACTGAAAACTGGTTCAGGAAAATGTCACCTTGCTGAGAGACAAATACTGCCACCTTGTGGTAAGTCCTCAAGTCACTAGGCGCGTGTGTTAGGCCCGTGTACTGTGTGCTGTCACACATGTTACATGGAAGAGGCTGGAGTTGGCATCTTGGTGCATGTGTATGCTTGCCGAGGTTTCTGGAACTAGGTCTCCTCATGGGGTGCTCCCCTGGAAATTGATTCTCACTCAGCTCTGGAGATCACTGTCCAAGATCACGGTATTGGCTGGGTTGTGCTCAGGGGGAGCCATCCCTGCCTCCCCAGGGTCTCACCTTGTAGCTCTGGCTGTCCTGGTCCCACTCTGTTGGTAACTTGTGTCTAGGCCCCATCCTGAGGTCCTGGGGCTCAGGATGTTTGATAGGAGTTTCTGGGAACACTATCTGGCCTACAGCAGTAGCTGAGAAGACAGGGCTAAGTGGTCCATTCAGTCTGCACTCTGCTGAGTAATCCACACGCAGCATGTGGATGGACGCTCTGGGGACTCTTGCTACCTTAGTCTTCCAGCATCCTCCTCTTCCTGGACCATGATAGCAGCGATGTAATCCTTCCATCAGGAGAGTCAGAGGCAGGTGAATCTCTGAGTTCAAGGCCATCCTTCATAGTGAGTTACAGGACGACCAGGGATATACAGTGAGACCCTGTCTCAAAAACCAGAACCAACCAACCAACCAACCAACCAACCAACCAACCAACCAACCAACAAACAAACAAAAAAAGGTAGGTGGATCTGTGAGTTTGAGGCTAGCCTCAAGGACAGGCTCCAAAGCTATGGAGAAATCCTGTCTTGAAAACCCAAAACCAAAACAAACAAACAAACAAACAAACAAAAAACAAAAACCAAACAACAAAACAAGAATCAAAATGAACTAAACAAAAAATAAAGATGCCACCAGGAGGGGTAGAGCTGGCTCTGGCTCTCTTGGATCACAGTCCCCGTGGTTGCGCAGACTTGGGCCCAGTGGCTGCGGAGACGACAGGGACTGATGCTCTTTCCTTGGACCACAGTCCCCGTGGTTGCGCAGACTTGGGCCCAGTGGCTGCAGAGACGACAGGGACTGATGCTCTTTCCCAGACGTGTGACAGCGCTTCTTCTCTCCAGATCCAGGAGTGGGAGAACCACATCCTCACCCAGAGTAAGAAAGCCTCAACTCCTGGTGTCATCTTGAATCAGAAGATGAAGATTCAGAGAAGGATCCAGATTCTAGAAGACCAGCTGGACAGGGTGTGTGCCTCAGGCTCTCTAGGAGGGTCCTCAGGCTCCGCCATCTGTAGACAGACACTGTGGGCTTAGGGGTCCCATTAGGAGATCAAAGGGCCCTGGGGTGGGTAGGTTTCAGGCTCCCATGGAGGAAACAGGGTGGTCCCCACCTCTGGCAGGTCCTGGACCTACCTCATAAATGCTTGAACACCCTCCCCAGGTCACCTGCCACTTTGACATCCAGCTGGTGAGGAATGCGGCCCTGCGGGAGGAGCTGGACTTGCTGCGCATTGAGAGGGGTCGGTACCTGAACATGGACCGCAAGCTGAAGAAGGTGGGGGAAAGGAGCCCTGGCCCTGTCACCCCTCTCCAGCCTGATGTCCCAGGCAGAGCTCCTAGGGCCCAGGTCCACCTCAGTGCAGGGGAGAGAGAGGAAGAGCACGCTCACCTCGACTCAGTCCCGTGCAGGCTCAGGACAGGGGGAAGAGAGGAATCCCTTTGAAGAGCCAACCTGCCCTACCTCTCTCTTTTCTTTCTTTCTTTCTTTCTTTCTTTCTTTCTTTCTTTCTTTCTTTCTTTCTTTCTTTCTTTCTTTCTTCTTCCTTCCTTTTCTTCCTTCTTTCCTCCCTCCTCCCCTTTTATAAAATTTTTATATCAAAACAATTTCAAACTTATATAAAAGAAGTGGAAATTGTACACAGAACCTCTATATGTTCTTCACCAGGACATATGTATGTGTTCATATATGTACATACATATAGGTTCCTTGGGAGTCTTACCCAAGCTAGACTTGAACTCCTGGCAATCCTCCTGCCTCAACCTCCCTGATTACAGAAGTGAGCTACCATACTTGACTGAAATTGGTAATTTGTCTTTCTTTGTCCCTTGCCTCTCTCTTAGTCTCTGTCTCTGCCTCAACCTTGGTCAGTTTCTCTCTCCTTTCTTTCCCACCCCAGCCCATCCCCACCCCTCTGGTTCCATAACTGGTATTTTGGAAGTGTCTGGTCCAGCTGTGTTTTGTGGAGGTCCCTGTGGGTACCAGCAGCTTCGCATCTGTTGAAGGATGCCATGTTAAAAAGTTGTTCAAGTCCTTCCTAGCCAAGAAGGAGATGCTCTGGAATGGAGTCTCCTCTGATGAGAAGCGTCTACTGGAGCTCCCACTATATGGTCTCAGTGGCCGCTAACGTCCTTGCTTGAAATTCCCACTGTCCTGGCTGGTGTCACATTGCTACTAGGTTCAGCACTGTGACTTCAAGATGAAAGTCCACAGTCACTCTGACACCTGGTCCTCTGGGTGCATCTTCCCGTCCCCTCCCTGCCCTGTCTCCACCCCCTCTCCTGTCCTGTCCTCCCCTCTCCATTCCTTTTGTGTGTGTCTCTGTTTCCCAGCAGAGGAAGTGCCGTGGTCTCGTTACCTTTCCTGCCCTTGCCCCACACTTTGCTATTTCTCCAACAAGTTCCCGTTTTCTTTCTCTCTTTTTAAATTATTTATTTATTATGTATACAACGTTCTGTCTGCATGTTTGCCTGGCCGCCAGAAGAGGGCACCAGGTCTCGTAGATGGTTGTGAGCTGCCATGTGGTTGCTGGGAATTGAACTCAGGACCTCTGGAAGAGCAGCCATCTCTCCAGCCCCCATTTTCTTTCTCTTAAAAAATATTTTGCTTTTCATATTTGTGTGCATGTGTGTTTGTGAATTTGTACATATGTGCAAGGAGGTAGTGAACTGCCCAGTGGGGGTGCTGGGAATTGAACTCTCAACCTTTCGGCCCTTCTCTCCGAAGTCCTATATTTTTCCTGGTGGTGAGTAGGGATTGGAAAGTCAAGGTTTAGGCACAAGTGGCCCCACTGTGACCGTGTTGTACCCTCCTCCACTCCTCCACACAGCTTTCGTCCTCTGGACACACCGACTGTCAGCAGCACACTGTTGGGTGGCCGCCCTTGCTGTGTCTCTCCTTTCTCCTAGGAGGGCTTGGGTATGTGTTAGGGACCTCCCTGACCACTCCTTGTTTCCCTGTCTTCCCCATGTTTCTGCTTTTCATCTGGGCACAGTCAGCTTCATTTACTTTATTGGTGATCAGGTTGTTTTTTTTTTTTTTTTTTTTTTTTTTTGGTTTTTTGAGATTCTCTGTGTTGCTTTTGGACCCTGTCCTGGAACTAGCTCTTGTAGACCATTCGAACTCACAGAAATCTGCCTCTGCCTCCCGAGTGCTGGGATTATAGGCGTGCACCACCACCTGATGGTGATCAGTTATTTTATGGTGTGGTTTTGGTTGAACTTTAACGCTGAGGTGCAGCCCTGCCTTGTTCCCTTTTAGTTTTCTCTCATGTCTCTGTTGACTTAATTTATCTGATAAATCTGTAAAACACTAACAAACCAAACAAAACTGTTCCAGAAGGGCTGGCACACTCTCATGTATCTATTTGCGCGTCTCTCCAGAGCAGAGACTGCAAGGCAGGTGCAGGCCAGCCTGGGCTAGAGATCTGTACCCTGTCTCAAAATGAAAAGAACTGGGGTGTGGCTCTGTAGCTCCTGCCCAAGCTTCTGCCAAGATCCCAGCCCTATAAAACCAAGCTAAACATCCAAAAACCATCCCAAGAGACATGGGCACAGCTCTTCCTCATCTCCCTCTGATCTGGTGGCCCTGTATTACCAGTGTCCTCAGTTTCTGGCTCTCCACTGCTGGGTTATTTTCAACAAGGTGTGTTTGTGTGTGTGTTTGCTTCTCTGTGTCTGTAGATGGATGTGTGACGTCTCTGCTGTTCCTTCCTTTCTCCCGAAGACACATGGCTACTTCTGAAGCTAGAAAAGAGAGCTGTAAGGTCACATTATATGTTGGTCTGTCAGTTAATCAAAGTATCTGAGCCCGGGAACGTTGGAGAGCAAAGAAGCTCCTTTAGCTCACAGTACCGGAGGTGAAGAAACCAAACTGCGCAGGATTACGTTGCCTAGGACCTGGGTCTCCACATCATGGCAGATAGTATGACGGGCGGAACATAGGCACGAGGGAGATGCCAGTTGAGGGAGAAGCAGAGGGTTGGACCTGGAGGAAGAACCTTGGTCCCTTCTGAGGTTAGTGGCTTTAGCAAGCTCACAGTAGGCCCTACCTTTAAAAAGTCCAACTGCTTCCCAGTATTGGCACTCAGCTTCTCATCCCAAGACCCTTGGTGGATACGGCACATTGAATCCCAGTATAGTCATGACATCCAAGCAGGTTTCCAAGTGGTGGTCAAGTCGGGCTGGTCCTTCTGGGTGAGTGGTCCCCAAGTGAGCTCCAGTTACCTGTGCCATGTGTCCTCCTGATTTTCCTCTCATTTGGGACCTCATTAAAACCCCTTTTCTGATTCAAGGTCAGACTGGTCTATGTAGGTTAAGGACAGGCGAGACTGCATCTCAGAAAACAAAAGCAAAATCCTGCCCTCTTGGCAAACATAAAACAAAAAGCCCTTTCCTGGAGGGCTGCTCTGCAGGGGTAGCCTAGGCCTGCCCTTGGTGGTGGGAAGGCCGGAGGAAGTCAGCTCACTGTGTCCCTGTAGGAGATCCACTTGCTTCGGGAGACAGTCGGAGCTCTCAGCACGTCCTCTACCTCTGCTTACACCGCCAGGTAAGTCCCTAGGGCACTTGGGTAGCAGACAGTAGGGGTGAGGGCCGGAAGGTTGGAGATTCACAATGATGGGCAAAACCCAAAAGATACCCACGTCTCCTGCCAGACCCTGTTCCTTGGGTGCATGTAAATGGGCAGTTTTGTCTGTGACAGCTTCAGGCATACTTAGGGCTGGTTACCAGGGCCTGGGAGCCCTGGAGGACTCTGGCTGTGGAGAGCAGTTAGTCAGTAGCTGTAGCTGCAGAAGCAGTTGGCCTTCTCCGCACCTTGGCTGGCTTGTGACCTCTGTCCTTCTGTGTAGGTGTCCTCCTTTCCTTGGTCTTGTTGTCACCTTGCTCTCTCAGTTCTAAATCTGAGGGAGGGAATCTGATTGGCTACACCATTGTCTGCCTATATGGCCACCCATTCACCTCCCTGCAGTGGATAGGCAGCTGGGGCACAGGACAGGCTGGTTTCTGTTCTGGGGAGTGGTCTTTGGGTCAGGAGCTTGCTATTGTCAGGAGAGGCTATGTTTGTAGGTGAATGGCCCAAACTAACCTTCAGGGGTGGCGCTGGGAGGAGGCCCCCCACAAGGCTGGTGGAGATGTGATCCTTTGTAATTGATGACATCAAAGCTTTCAGCCCATATTCACAGCAAAGCAGGACAGGGTGTCAGCAGGAGCCCCCCCCCCGCCCCCAATGTCTTGATAGGCTGTGATGGATTGTGCCCAGCTTGGAGTGCAACCAGTTTCTAGCTATAGGGCATTCACACTGCAGTGTTACCCAGGCTGCCCTTTCTGCACCTGCACCTGGGAATAATCTCTGGCAAGGCCTGGTCACTTCCTTTGCCCTTCTGAGTAACTGGGCACATGATTCCTGGCCTCTGTGTCCCCTGTGTGTCCACCAGGCTTGTCATATCTGGCCCCATCCTGACCTAGCCCTTCCAGCCTAGAACATTCTCTGCCTTTTGTGAGCATCTTCGTGAAGCCAGCGGCACTGTCCTCCCCCAGGCCCACAGGCTGACCCCATCTTCTGTTTTTATTGACATGCCCTCCTCCCCCAGGGAACCCCATCTTCTGTTTTTATTGACACGCCCTTCTCCCCCAGGGAAGAGGCCAAGACCAAGATGGGCCTGCTGCGGGAGCGCGCAGAGAAGGAGGTGGCTCAGAGTGAGACAGAAGCACAGATCTTGCAGCGACAGATCTCACATCTGGAGCAGCTGCACCGATTCCTCAAGCTCAAGAACCATGACAGACAGCCAGATCCTGACATTGTGCAGAAGCAAGAGCAGCGAGGTGAGGCCAGTGCTAACCCAGGGCCCTCAGAGAGGGCGATGCTCACTGGGAGAAGGTGGGGCAAAGGAGAAAGGAACCCGACCTGGTGGGAGAGGATAGTAGATCCAGTGAGTGCGTAGAGCTTGTTAGGGAAGGCGGGGTTGTTGGGGACCCTGGAGCCCTCAACATTGCTTTTCCCCCACAGCCTGGGAGGTGGCAGAAGGACTCCGAAAGACCTCCCAAGAGAAACTAGTATTGCGTTATGAGGACGCTCTGAACAAACTGGCCCAGCTGACTGGCGAGAGCGACCCTGACCTGTTGGTGGAGAAATACCTGGAGTGTGAGTGGGCACAGGGTGGAGGAGGTGGGGTTGCCCAGCCTGCCTGTATCTGCCATGCACCTTGTCTTGCCCTAGGGACTCCACCTGTCTCCAGTCGCCCTTCTGTTGCTTTGAGTCCCCCTAACCTTTCTCCCTCGGGGGGTCCCTCTTTGGGTCGGCACCTCTGATTCCTTCTTTCCACATGTTTCCTTCTCTCTTGGGTTTCCTCCACATCTGTCCCTCAGCTCTGCTTCCTTTCTCCCTGCGGTGGACTGTTTCCTGGGTCTTCCCGGATCTCCTGTCTCTGAGCGCATGTGCGGTTCCTCTCTGTGGCTGTCCCTGTCTCTTGCTATGACAGGTTTTTTTCAGGTGTATTTTTTATTGATATTTATTGAGCTCTATATTTTTCTCTGCTCCCCTCCCTGCCTCTCTCCTGCCCCCTTCAATCCTCCCCCCAAGGTCCCCAAGATCCCAATTTACTCAGGAGATCTTGTTTTTTTCTACTTTCTACTTCCCATGTAGATTAGATCTATGTAAGTCTCTCTTAGTGCCCGCATTGTTGTCTAAGTTCTCTGGGATTGTGGTTTGTAGGCTGGCTTTCTTTGCTTTATGTTTAAAAACCAGCTATGAGTGAGTACATGTGATAATTGTCTTTCTGTGTCTGGGTTACTTCACTCAAAATAATGTTTTCTAGCTCCATGCAATTTCCTGCAAAATTCAAGCTGTCGTTATTTTTTTCTGCTATTTCTCCATTATGTAAGTGTACCACATTTTCCTTATCCATTCTTCGGTCAAGGGGCATTTAGGTTGTTTCCAGGTTCTGCCTATGACAAACAAAGCTACTATGAACATAGTTGAGCACATGTCCTTGTAGCACGATTGAGCACCCTTTGGATATATACACAAAAGTGGTATTACTGGATCTTGAGGAAGGTTGTTTCCTAGTTTTCTGAGAAATCACCACACTGACATTCAAAGGGGTTGTACCAGCTTGCACTCCCACCAGCAATGCAGGAGTGTTCCCTTGTCCTCACAACATCTCCAGCATAAATTGTCATCAGTGTTTTTGATCTTGGCCATTCTTACAGGTGTAAAATGGTGTAGAGATTAGAGCGGCGGGGCTGCGTTCCAGCAGCCCTGGCTCCCACATGGCAGGCTTATGCCCGAAATAATTACACGGAAACTGTATTCTTTTAAACACTGCCTGGCCCGGCTAGTTCCAGCCTCTTATTGGCTAGCTCTTACATATTGTTCTAACCCATTTCTAATATTCTGTGTAGCCCACGAGCTGGCTTACCAGGGAGGATCTTAACCTGTGTCTGTCCGGAGTGGGAGACATGGCGACTCCTGACTAAGCTTCTATCTCCCGGCATTCTCTTCTGTTTACTCCACCCACCTATGGGTTGGCCTATCAAGGGGCCTAGGCAGTTTCTTTATTAATAAGAAATCACTCCCACATCAAAATCTCAGAGTTGTTTTGATTTGCATTTCTCTGATGACTAAGGATATTGAACATTTCCTTAAGTGTCTTTCAGCCATTTTAGATTCCTCTGTTGAGAGTTCTCTGTTTAGGTCTGTACTCCTTTTTTTTTTAATTGGATTATGTATTCTTTTGGTGTCCAATTTCTTGAGTTCTTTGTATATTTTGAAGATCAGCCCTCTCTCTGATGTGGGGTTAGTGAAGATCTTTTCCCATCTGTAGGCTGTATGATGGAGTTTTTACAGCCTGTGTCTGCCTTGTTCCTGTTTGCTCTGTCTCTGTTTTTCTTCTTTGGTTCTGTCGTCTTTTAGACCTTAGCAATCGATTGGTCTGTTTCTAACTCCTTGTCCCGGAACCTCTGCTCTCTCCCAGTGGAGGAACGCAACTTTGCTGAGTTTAACTTCATCAATGAGCAGAACTCAGAGCTACACCACCTTCAGGAAGAGATTAAAGAGGTGAGCCAGGCCCATCCTCCTCACATCCTCCCTACCTAACATACCTCCTCCCACCTCCTTAGGCCTGGAGCAGACCCAGATCCTGCCCCTGTCCTGCAGATGCAGGAGGCTTTAGTGAGTGAGCATGCCAGTCAGGACACCCAGCACCTGCAGCAGGAGCAGCAGTGCCGAATGTTACAGCAGGAAGTGGACACGGTGTGCTCTGAGTCCCAGCAGCTGGAGGCACGCCTTCAGGCTCTCCGAGCTCAGCTGGAAAAGCTCAAAGCTGGTAAGTGTCCGAAGCTCCAGCTTCTTGGTTAGGAAGGAGGCAGTGCCGCGTGGGCAGCTGGCCAGTAAAAGGCAACTCATGGCCAGTTCTGCATTTGCTTCTCTGTCCGTCCCACATTTTCCAGCAGCCTATCTGGGGTGCGTCTGTCCATCCATCCATTTTTTCCTCCATCTGTCTGTTCATGAATGCCAGGTGTGTGACTGTTGGATCGTAGGCCAGGGCACTTTAATATTTACTGGAAAATGCAAACAGTTCTCCAGAGCAATTTCTCTCCTTTCTTCCTTCCTTCCTTCCTTCCTTCCTTCCTTCCTTCCTTCCTTCCTTCCTTCCTTCCTTCCTTCCTTCCTTTCTCTCCCTCCCTCCCTTCTTCCCTCCCTTTCTTTTTCTTTAGCTTTTTTTTTTGAGGTAGGATCTCTCTATTATGTAGCTTGGTATGTTTTAGAAGTCACATATAGACCAGGATGCATTCAGATTCACAAAGATCCATCTGCTTTTGCCTCCCAAGTGCTGGGATTAACGATATGGACCACCAGCCGGACGGTAGTGGCACACGCCTATAATCCCAGCAATCTGGAGGCACATGGATCTCTGTGAGCAAATTCCAAGAGAGATAGAGTTGTTACACAGAGAAACCCTGTCTCGAAAAACCAAGGAAAGGAAGGAAGGAAGGAAGGAAGGAGGGAAGGAAGGAAGGAAGGAAGAAAAGAGCTATGGGTCACCATGGCAATCTCTCAGCCTTTCCCCGCTGGTCCACATTGCCAGTCTGCATTATATTTATCTATTTTAAATAGCTAAACATTTTAAAACTTGGATTTATATATTTTATGTGACAATATTTTGCCTACATGCATTATGTATGTATATACATACATGCATGTTTGGTGCTACATACATCAGAAGAGGGCATTGGGTCTCCTGGAACTGGTTTTATAGATGGTGCAAACCACCTTGTAGGTGCTGGAAATTGAATCCGGGTCCTCTGCAAGAGCAACAAGTGCTCTGAACTGCTGTGCCACCTCTGCAGCCCCACCATGAATTAGACTGTAGTTTCTCTTGTTCAGAGCTATGGGGGTTGTTTATTGGTTCGGCACACCAGTCTTTTGGAAATACTTTTTGTATGGTTGGGTACTTCCCCGTTTTCTTGTGTGAAATTTATCTTACACCTGATGAGATGTAATCAGCTCTGATTTGTAATTAGTGGCTTGGCTTCCATATCAGAGCCTGGGCCTGTCACAGAGGAAGTTACGTGTGTGGGGCCCTGTGGTGCCTAGGAGGATTTCTCCTTGCTCTTCCCTACGGGACCTGGTGCTGTTCTCTGGTCCTGTCCCCTCCTCATTTCCAGGACAGCTGAGCTAGCTTTCAGAGACTGAAATGGAGACCGCATTGCCTTGGGTCCCAACGCCGCCTGGTGTTGACACAGGCATCACCTTCCTCTTCCTGAGTCTCTGGAGGCAGACATGGTGGGGGTGGCGGAGCTCAGCACGTGACCCTTCTCTCTATACACGCATGTCTATAACCATGTTAAGTTCGCACGGAGTCGCGCTGTAGATTTCCGCATTTAACTGTTGGCTTTTCAGTTTTCCATTAACTCCTGTGCTATTTTTATTGATTTCTCATTTGTCAAGTGTGCCAACAGCATCACAACATGGTAGTGTGGTAATGCATCGTAGGATACTTACTGCTGTCTTCATCTTTGCGTTTTGAATATTCCATCTCCTGGCATGAACATTATCTTGTGTGCTGGACTGCACAGCTTCAGTGCAGGCGATTCTTATCTCCTGGTCTGGAGGCCAACAGGGCCATCCCTCCGAGCGAGGGCTGTGTGGAAGGGTCTGTCCCTATATACCTCTTTGACGCTGGCTGGCTTCATTTCCGTGTCTTGCAACTTTTAACCCACCATGCGTCTACAGCATACATCCCCTCTGTTTTTCTTTTCTTTTTTCTTTTTAGTAGGAAGGGGGAGGGGAGGCTCAAGACAAGGTTTCTCTGTGTATCAGCATTGACTGTCCTAAAACTCACTGTATAGAGCCACTGGCCTCGAACTCACAGAGATCCGCCTGTTTCTGTCTCCTGAGTGCTGGGATTAAAGGTGTGTTCCACCATGTCTGGCTGTTTTACTATTTTTTATGTGTGGGTTTACATGTGTGTGCACAGGACACACATGTTTCCCCCTGTTTTATAACGTCACTTGTCCTCTTGTATCAGGAGCTACCATGCTCCAAGTAACCTTGTCTCATCCTAATAAATCCTGTTCTGAGGCACTGGGAAGGTTTATACTCCCAACAGAGAATCTGGAGCCACACAGTTCACCCATGGTCATCTGGCTGTGCAGAACGGCCCCTCTCTCTGCACAGGGCCAGTTAGGTAGTTTGCTGTTACTAGCAGAGCCGCCGTTAGGAAATGAAGATGTTTGTTCAAAGCATGTCCAGAAATGGCGTGAGGCCTCTATGGGGCAGCAGGAGCGGCAGGTTCCCGGCTCACCTGTGTGGGGAGGCGGGTTCAGCTGTTAACCAGAGGGCCTGCGGTGAGGGGCCATGGGGTGTCTTCTGGGAGCCCTGGCATTATTGGGTTGGTAGAAAATAGGTTTATTTCCAGCCAAGGTGTGCCATAAAGGACATCTCGTCAGGTCCTCTGTGCCCCCTTGAGCTCTGAGGCTGGTAGCCGTTGTGCCTGGCTGTCTGGTCTTGCCTTTCCAGAGAGGCTGTGACCTGATGGAATGTCCTATCTGACCCCAGATATCCAGCTTCTCTTCGAAAAGGCTCAGTGTGACAGCAGTGTCATCAAGGATCTCCTTGGGGTCAAGACCCACTTGCGGGATAGGGACATGCGCCTCTTCTTGAGCACCATCGAGAAGCGTCTGGTGCAGCTCCTCACAGTGCAGGCTTTCCTTGAGGTCCAGGTACGTGACGGGGACGGGGCTATGGGGCCACGCTTGGTTAGGCCTGCACTAACTCCAGGCTCCCACACTCTCAGAACCATACCCCTTTGGCTGAAGTTGCCCTTCTGGCGCTGGGCCAGAGCCAAGAGGACCCTCCAAAGAAGACCACCCCACTCCAGCCTCCGGACACCATGTGAGGCTCGGACAGAGCAGGGAGGGCAGATTCCAGGGGCAGACAAAAGGGTCAGGATGAAGGGTTTGGGTATGGCTTGTGGGTATGGCCTTCTGGGGCACAGAGGGTGAGGTGGGAGCTTGGACGGGGGTGGGAGAGTGGGGAGATGGGGTGCTGGGGCTCCAAGGGGAGGGGAGAGGCACAGGACAACCGGGATCTGTGCATAAGGCAGAGCTGTGAAACTGGACTTTGTTTCTCCCACCTGAGGGAGGACCCCCCAGGTTTTGTGGTCAAAGAGGATTATCCTATGAGCAAGGAGGAGCTGCTGAGTCAAGTAGTGAAGTCGGTGAGAGTGCGGCCCCAGGGCTGGGACAAGGACTCTGCTGCCTGTGGGACTCTAACGCTGCCTGTGGGACTCTAATGCTGCCCCCCCCCCAGGTGGAGCTCCAGGACCTCCAGCAGCAGGAGGAGGCCACCAGGAAGCTGGAAAGCAGCCCGAGCTTGGCCTTCTCCAGTACTCAGATCTCCCTGTCCGTCCCCAGCCTGGGGACCCCCAAGAGGACCAGCGTAATCCCTGAGTCCATTCTGAGCCACAAGACAAGCCGAGGCCGTGGCGCCAGCTCCATAAGCCACGTCACCTTCGGTGACTCTGGCTCAGCCGCAGGTCCCATGACCTTGGCTTCTGTCAGTGCCAGTGTAGCACTGGTGTCTAGTCGGGGCTCTGTGGTGGGCCGTGGGGCCTTCAAACACACCAGCTCCAGCAGCTACCTGGGTTCCACTGGCTACCTGGAGACCAGCCGCGGTCAGGAGAGCACAGGAGGCGGCGCGCAGAGCCAAAGCATGGGATCGGAGTTGAGTAGAGGCCACGGCTCCAGCAGCGGCCCAGGATCCAGGCCCAGCTCCTCTACCAGCAAGGACTCGAGGGGCTACAACTAGGCCTGCAGGCCTTCCTGCCCCAGCCCTTGGCAGGTTCTCTAGCCTTAGTCTCCCTCCTCCCCAAACTCTCTGCCCCTTTCTGCCCAGGCCTCTTGAGTTCCCCCATCTCTTCCCACCTCCTGCTTGTTGTTAGTTCCTCTGCCTCGGCTTTGACTCTGTGTCCCTCTTACTCCGTGCTTCCCACCTCTGCCCTGCTCATCTGTCTCCCAAGCATCCCTGCATCTGACGTCTCTGTCTCCTTATTGGACTCCTCTCCGTTGCCTAGGTGAACTGTAACAATAGGAAATAAAGGTCGGAGCCCAGCCTGGTTCCTTCTAGTGTGTTCAGATATGGCTTCAGCTGTTTCCAGCTCAGGGAAAAATATCTGTGAGCCTGTTTCTGCATCTGCCTACGCCAGTGCCCATCCATCTCTGCATCCACCCACCCATCCATTTTCTGCCTTTTCCCTATTTCTAGCTCTGCTGAAATCTGTATCAGTCAGGACAGGCTGTGCTGTGCTGCAGTAGCCGACATCCCCTGCATCTGGCTCTTAGGTAGCCAGAGTTTCTCTTGCCTCTTTGTGGGTGACTTAGGACCTCTATTTCACTTCATGCTCTTGTCTGACAAAACAACCTCAGTCTGGAGAAGTGGGCCTGGGAAATAAAAGATGGCAAAGCAGATGCAACTCTTGGAGGTCAACTTGGATCCACTGGTCCCGTCATGCATATCTCCTAGTGGAACAGGCTTTGGCAGGGGATGGGACTTTACAGACAACCCTGACTGGCCCCACAGTGGGCCACAGTGAGCTGCGTGTTGAACTGAGGCACATTAGGACACAGGGGATGGCTCCTGTCTGAAGTGGAGCCATGCCTAAATGCTGTCAGAATTTAACCTAGCCAAATCCAGAGCAAATTCATCATTTGCCCTCTAGGCCTCCCTCCCTCCAGATGGGTCAAAGCACCTGTACTTCATGGGGGCGTGTGAGAGTAAAAACACTTTGATGCCTGTGAGGCATCTGCCATGGCCTGCCCCCTACAACACGGACCCACAGCGGACCGTCGATGCCTGTGAGGTGTCTGCTACAGCCTGCCCCCTACAACACGGACGCACAGACCTCAGCGGACCAGGAAGGGGAAACTCAGGAAATGGATGACGGATGGAGGGATGCATGCAGAAGGGATGCCTTGACTATGTATACCACCCATCACGCTGCCGGTGTTGTGCACACGGCTGCTAAACTGTTGCCTGTAGAACGAGAAAAAGTCTGTACGTTTTCAGTTCAGATGCTCATAAAAGTATTCCCAGTGTGTGCTTTGCTGAGTCCCCATAGAGAGAGGCAACGCTGGGGAGAGTGCTGGGTGGTTGGACACACAGAAGCCGGGGCCTGCCTGGGATCTTTGGGAAATGTCCCCTCACCCAGGCAATTATACCTGCTTCTGGGTCATGAGGCAGCAAGAAGGCTCTTGTCAGATGTGTATCTTGGACTTTCAAGCTGCCAGACTGTAAGAACTTCTTATATTTTATTTTATATTAGGATCTCACATGGTTCAGGCTGGCCTTGAACTCCACATGTCGCAGAAAAAGACCTTGAAGTTATGATTCCTGCTTCCACCTCCCAAGTGCTGGGGTTGCAGATGGAGGCCCCGGGTCTGCTGTGTGCAGTGCTGGGGACCTGGCCCAGCTCCTTATGCGCACCAGGCGAGCGCCCTAGCAGCTGAGCTGCAGGCTGCTGAGCTTGTTCTCCAGTGGGTTTGGACCTGGAGTGCTGAAAGTTTGGTTATCAGCCTATGGCTGTATTAGGAAAGGCGAGGACCTTGGGGAGGTGTGGCTGGGTGGAACGAAGTGAGATAAATTGGGGTGTGCCTTTGAAGGAGATATTGGGGCCCAGTGATTTCTCCTCTTTATGCTTTCTAGACTCTGTGAGCCACCTTGTTCCATACAGGCTCCCTCTGTGTTCTGTCTTACAAGCCCAGAGGCCATGGTGTCAGGTGGCCGTGAGCTGACACCGTGGATTAAAGCAAACATTCCATGATAAATTGATTGTGGTAGGTGTTGTGTCATAGGTGCCTGGGTGGTTTAGGGCTGTTGCGCTCACCCCTCAGTAGATGCCCGAGAATAAAACAAAACCAAAAGGAAGTGTCCAAACCCTTGTGCTCCTAATACTGCCTACAGATTTATTATGACTAGAAAATATGAATGTGCTGTTGGTTTTTATAAACCTAAACACAAGCCTAGACATCTCTGGCAAGAGGGAACCTTGACAGAGAAAATGCCTCTACAAGACCGTCCTGTGGTCCTGGTTCATGGCCAATGTGGAAGGTTCCGCACACTGGCTCCTGCAACCCTGGGCAGGAGGTCCTTAATTGTGTAAGAAAGCAGGCTGAGCAAGCCGTGGCGCACGAGCCAGTAACAAGTGCTTCTCCATGGCCTCTGCTTCAGTTCCTGTCTCCAGTGTCCTGCCTTGAGTTCCTGCCCTGACTCCCACAGTGATGGAGAGTGACCTGAGAGTTAGACAAACAAAGCCTCTCCTTCCAGAGCTGTTATGATTGTGGCCTTTAATCACAGTAATGGAAAACTAAGACGAAATACTTTATAATCCATGTGTAGAGTGGCTTTACCATAAACTTTCTCAGTAAGAGGAAAAAGGCGAACTTCGTGTGTGTGTGTGTGTGTGTGTGTGTGTGTGTGTGTGTGTGAGAGAGAGAGAGAGAGAGAGAGAGAGAGAGAGGGCTCACAATCATTTGGACATGTGCTGAATCTGAAACCATCAATGCAGAAGAAAACATTTTTGAACACATGAGAAACAATTTTAAAAAGCCTTGCGAACATGCTAGATTCATCATCTGGTGCTCATTTACTGCTCACAGAAATGTTTACTGACCTAAGCAGGGGTTTATCTTACATAACAAGTGCAGACACAGAAACTGCGGAGGCCACAGCCTGTCAAGGTCACCGGTGCTGTGGGGAGACACCATGACCAAGGTAACTCCTAGGAAAGAAAGCATTTCATTGGTGCTTGCTTGCAGGTCCAGAGATGGGGAGGATGGCGGCAAGTAGGCAGGCAAGGTGCCTCGTCTGAAGGCCAGCGGGGCGGGCAGGAACAAGAGTGACTCTGTGCCCGGCTTGGCCACCCCAGTGACACACTACTCGGCCACACTTCCCAATCCTTTACAGACAGCACCACTCTTTGATGAGAGCGTTCAAATATATGAGCCTGTCTCTTATTTAAACGATCAATCTCAGGGAGCAAAATTTTGTGTTTTGAGGGAGATGTCAGTACCATCTTTGCACTAGTCCCCACGTTGTTCAAATCAGGGTGTTTCATCTAATTCCCAGGGAGCAAGTACAAAAGGAAAAGGAAGCAATGGCTGTCTCTTCCTGACAGTTCCCAGAGACTTGCATACTCCATGCTCCCAAGCTCTGCTCACCACTGTTAGGAGATGTTCGGCAGTTCTGAGACACCTGCATGAGCCCACAGGAAGTAAATGAGACGCAGGGACAGCAGCCGAGCCACAGGGAGGAGCAGCTGTATCAGTCTGGAAAAAAAGGCAGGGCAAGCACCCCTAGTCGAGCTGCAGGGACCAGGAACTCTGAACCATTCAACTGCCCTTTGCACTGAATTGACAAAAAATGGAGCAAGGGAGTGTCACCTGGGAAGGAGGCCGCTGTGTGCATGGGAGCATTGCAGACTCCTGCAGCAACCCCGAAAGAGCGCGCCGAGAGGAGTCAGCCTTGTATAGCATCTAAGCAGAGAAGAAAGTGGAGACGACATGAATACGGATGTAGCCGCAGCAGCTGTTCACAGCATCTGTCTTACTGTGCATGAAAAAGAGTCACCGTCTTTCTCCAGTTGAGGCTTACATGTAACTTCAGGGATATGTGTTTACAATGCTCCTTTGCTTGGTAACCATACCAAGCTGGGATCACATGAACCTAGGAGTTCTGGGTCAGCATGGGCCAGTAGAAGAATCCTGTGTTGAAAAAGAAATCTTTCTCCCAAGCCCCAGTCCCACAGTGAGTCTGCAGCGGGCTCTTACATGTGTAGTAGGACATTTCTTTCCTGCCCATCAGTTCCCAAATAACCCACTCAGAGGCTAAATATGAATTGTAGATGCTTGGCCAATAGCTCAGGCTTGTTGCTAGTTACACCTACATTTTAATTAATCCATATTTCTTAATCTATGCTTTGCCACGTGGCTTGGTCCCTTTTCTCAGTCCGGCATGCCCATCTTGCTTCTCTGCGTCTCTTGGTGACCCCTCTCCACCCCTCCTCACCCCAGCCGCCTCAGTTTGATTGCCCCACCTACATGTCCTGCCTGCCTATCAGTCAATCTTTTTTTATCAAACCAATCCGAGTGTACAAAAGAATTATTCCACAGCAATATGGTGTCTGGTACAAAAAGAGGCATTCCATGTTGCTTAGCTTCATAACTCCTCTTCAGTGTGAAGTTTCTGTGCTGGTGTTGTCCCAAATCTTTATTTCTACAGCATGAGATGGCACCTGCGGGATGCAGACAGTATGTGTACCTGTATCTGAGCTCTTGAGTTTCTTCCCGAAGGTGAGTCCTAGCTGACAGTGGAGGTTGGTCAGCACAGGAGGCTTTCCACAGATGGATCCCACTCATGAAGGCCCACCCTCAACTTTTTCCTGCCAGTCCACAGACTCCTCCACAGCTCCGTCTGAGTTCCCACACTTAGAATCAATGGGGCTTCAGCCACAAGACCCCCATCTGCATCGGGTTTGTGTGTGTTTTGATGGTGGCTTGATGTAAGATATTTCACAATACTGAAGTTCCATGATGGGACATGTATTCTTGTAAACCCCCCCTGTGAAGGCATGAGCTTCCAGCTGGGTTTGGGGATGCCTCATTTCCTGATGTCCACAGGGTCTAGCTGGAGTTGTGACCTTTTCTAGGTCTGTGGGGTATGTGTTTCTAGCACCCTGCTGGGGTGGGTGGGGATCTTCAGAGAATGTTCTTGTGGAGTGGATCATTCAATCTGTAATAAAGTTAATCAAAAGTTCGCCTCTGTTCCCAGTAGAGAGAGCTGGGAGAATGCGGAATTGGTCAGGGAAGAGAGCCAGCCAAGCCCCCCCCCCAAGAGTGACACGGGGATGGGACTATTGGAAATTTGGCCATAGAAACTCACAAGTAAGGACAGAGGTTACTAAGAAATGGTTCTGCTCAGGGGGCTGACACGTGGGAGAGAACTGTCAGACCCGGAAAGCAGAGCCATACAGTGGAGAAGTAGAGCAGACACTCAGCTTTCCCTGAACCATGAGTATTCTGTATTCTCACTGAAGTGACACAAACCATACACAGAAGGATTTAAAATGTGGCATAAAACCAGGCATGGTGGCGCACGTCTTTAATCCAGCACCCAGGAGGCAGAGACGGGAGGTTCTGAGGTCAGCCTGTTCTACAAAGTGAGTTCCAGGACGGCCACAGCCACAACAGAGAAACCCTGTCTCCAAAAACAAACAAACTATGCAGTGCAGCCTCGTGGTGCCCTCCTGACACCTCAGCATTGGGAGGCGCAGCAGGAAGAGCATTGCACAGCCATTGGCTCCACAGAGCTCCAGGGCAGTTCCTCTCAGCAGCTCTTAGACCACAAAGTCACCCTCTCCATTTCTTCCCCCACAAGTCTGCTTTCTGTGCCTTGAATTTTTCTAGTCCACCACACAAACAAATCAGCACCACGGCAGTGTCCTTTTCTTCTTTTCTGGCTGAATACTATTTTATGTATGTATATACACACTTTGCTTCTCTGTTCACTCGCTGATGGACGTTTGGCTTGTGTGATGTTTTGAATGAGATGGAGCCATGCAGATTAGGAGGTGTGACTTTGTGGGCATGTCTTTGGGGGACTGTCTTAATGAGTGGGAAGAGATGCCCACTGTGGGTGGCATCATTTCCTAGGAAGGGGATCCAGGATGGTGTAAGAGTGAAGGAAGTGAGCTGAACTTGGACCTGCGTTAATTACCTGCTCTTTGCTCTTGACTGTGGGTGTGGTGTGATTGGTCACTCTATCTGCTGCCTGGTGGACTGTAGCCTAGGACCTTGAACCGAGCAAACCCTTTCTGGCTAGGGTATACTATCACAGCGACAGGAAGCAAAGCTGAGCCGAGTTCCTGGCAGTGCCGCCGGCCATCCCCTTATAGTTATTATGATTACATTATTGGGGATTGCAGCCCTCACCTCCCAGCCAGAGACAGGCAACTTGGGAAAACTCCCTGTAGCCCAACCAGCTACCAGCTGCGGAGACACAGACGGGACCAGGAGTTACTTAGAGAACACACTGGACCTGGAGCA